TTTGCTATCCTGTGCCTTACACTTCAGCAATTCTGAACTATCAACAGTTCTCTAAGCATCCAATTTATTGGCTTCACTATTCCTACTATACATCTGACTACAATGACCTCTCTTCTCTCCACTATCACCTCTGAAAATCCCATGAAATCAGGGTTTCTTAATCTTGGAACCACTGACATGACACCATGAGTTGGATAATACTGTTGTTGGAGCGGTTCTGTTCACTGTTAAAAAGATTTTTAGCTACATCCATGGCCTCTACTTCCTAGATACCTGCAGCATTCTCACTGGTTGATCAAAAATTCGAGACAGGGCCAAATGTTCCTGGAGAAGAAAATCGGCCCCAGTCAATAACTATTCCTTTAACTTGTTGAAACTTAAGTCTCTCATATGTACATAAAATACTTAAAGATATATATATAAAGAATAGCTGCTTTTCAGGAGGGCATATGGATGACAGAGGTAACTAGATAAGAAGAAAAAAAGTTTACTTTTCACATTTACTTTTAATCTGTTTTTAGTTTTGTACCTGTTCTAACTTCTCCACAACTATAGCCCTGGTCTGAGCCACCCCTTTCTCTTAACTGCTGCAAAAACCTTCTAATCAACTTTTTTTTTCCCCTTTAACCTTTCCTTCATTCTATTTTTTAGAGTAGTCAGAGTGATCTTTTTAAAACTGTACTTGTATCTTGTCATCCAACTGCTCTGAACCCTTACAACTTCCTAATCTCACTTAAAAAGCCCAAACCTTAAAATGACCTTCACATAATCTGCCATCTTATTTCACCCCTTTCTYTGTGATCTTTCTTCCTTGGACTTAGTGGTTTTGGAGGTAAGAAACAAATAACATTTTCACAGGATTGACTCTAATACTATTTCTCCATGTTTTACCTTTGAATTCACTGACATCTCTCTAACATGCCCATGGTCTTTATACTTGCTGTTATCTGCTGGGGACATATGCCCAGACACTAATAGGTTTCACTCCCCATAGTCTTTATTTCTTCAGGTCTTTATTTCTCAGTGGTCTTCCCTGACCATCCTACTCTTACCCATAGCACTTATTAATATCTAACATTATTTTTTAAATTCATCTTGTATACTGTCTTTCTTTTCCATCCTGATCAGTGTTCTCAAACCTGAGTCTGCATCAGAATCATCTGGAAARTTAATTATAACAATTTTCAAAACAAAGATCTGGACTCTGAAAATGTGCATTTCTAACAAGTTCCCAGGTGATACAAGAATCCAGGGACCACACTTGTAGTACTAATGTTTCAGAGCCACATAGGGAGAATGCCACGAAGTGACACACAAGCCAAGGAATTGTCAGTGACACAAGAAGAGGCCTAGAACAGATTCTCCCCTAGAACCTTGACAACATGGTCCTGGCAACATCATGATTTCAGACATCTAGCCACAAGAACTAGGACAATAAATTTCTGTTGTTTTAAATGGCTGTTTGTGGTTATTTATTATGGCAATCCTAGGGGGGGAAAAAAAAACAGAATGCAAACAACCACACCAAGCTGTGTGTAATCCCAAATTCTGCCCATTATCCAACTTCTACCAGTTTAAGTAATGTTTTAAATAAATAGCTTTCATTTTAATCAGATTTCCTGTTTGAGAATTTCCTCAACATTGCTTTTTCTTGTCCTAAATGTGTCCCTTCAATGTGCAAGACAGATCATTCTACAGGGACTGGACAGTTTATTTGAATTTTCTTTTTGGTTTTTCCCAGCTTCTTAGGGGTTTCCTTAACTCACAAGRAGCATCTTCTTTATTTTTTTCCTCCAAAGAAGACTTCATAATTTCACATATTAAAATTTGGGCACAAATTTTCCCCTGGGATGCTTGAATTAGGTGCAAAATAAAAATTTAATTTCACACCGGAGTTCCTTTATAACCAGATTTTAAAATAAAATGCTAACTTCACATTTTAAGGAACAGATTTTTTTTCCTTCTTCACTTAAAAAATTCTATTGGGAAACCTAAACTTTTAATGTAGCATCAAGCTGATAATTTTCTATTAAAAGATTTATAAATATACTGTCACAAAAATTACTATCAGTAATTTTACCACATGAAGACTCTAAATTAACATGGCTTACAAAGGTAATCAGTATAACAGAATTTTTACTGCAGCACATAACAACATACAAATAGTACCTCGAATATAATTAACAATATCACTTTTATATTTCTATCATTAGGTAAACATTAACTCATCGTCTGTGCCTAACTAAATCTGCATATTTATTTCTGGATATTTAATTTATTCAGAAATATAGACTCATACAATCTAAAGACAGTATACTTAAACTCTAAATGGATAATAACCACAAACTATCTTTAAATGCTGAATCCTAAGCAAAAAGATACTGAAAAAACACAAATTCCAGGCAAATTTGAGAAAGATATTTAATAGTTCTCCACTAGTCCTGAAAAATCATTCTCTTTCACTATGAAGAATTTTAAATGAGTCATACTTTCCTTACTAAATCACTGTTTTACTTAACATATGGTGAAAAGAGTTAACTGTTTGGTAACTTGAAGCTTTATATTCATTTAAACTATACATCAATATATACTAAAGCTGGCAGAAAATAAAACAAATACAGTTTATTACATACAATATTTAGAACTCTCCATATCATGTGCATGAGCCTCATCTGACATTTCTCTGATACGGGAGTGAAAAGCTGTCATCTAAATACCTTCAAAAACTCGGATTCCCACATCTYAAACTTACCAGAATTAAACAACTTGAAATTAAGCAGAACACTTTTTTTCTTGGCACCCAGGCGGAGCTATGTTCTACATCCATCTTTTACTAAATTAACATATTTCTGGCCCTTACATATTGCCTAATTATTTAAAGTTCTAACTTTATAACTTTTTTTWAAAAAATTAAATATTTTTATAGTAGATGGAGGCAGTTCCTTTATTTTATTTTTTTATGTGGTGCTGAGGATCGAACCCAGTGCTTCACACGTGCTAGGCAAGCACTCTACCAATTGAGCTACAGCCCCAACCCACTTTGTAACTTTTTAATTCATAATGAAATCAATTCATAGTCAGCACAGTTTTTAATCATTAAAGCATTAAAAAGAAATAAGGCTATATACTCACAATGAATTTAGAAAACTGGAAACTTAATAAGCTTTCCCAGAATGTGAGTCTTGTGTTGTTGTTGATGATGTTATTTTAAAAAATGGCAAGGGGGAGGGGGCGGCTAAGGGCTAAAAATGAATAAATCCCTACCCCTAAACTGCGGTCTATTAGAAGCATGCAATTTATCTAAACTCAAAGCACTATGGACAACTTGCCAGAATCCAGAATCCATCACACTTTGCAGGGGGAAAGGGGGAAAAAAATCTGAGTTTAAAAAAAAAAAAAAATCCCCCCCTCTTTCTGGTAGCAAGTGCCCTGACACGCACCTGGCTTGTTCACTGTCAGCGGCAGGGAAACTTTAAAAAATAAATCAGCTACAGACAAACCTGATGATCCAAGCAAGCCCCAGGCACTTCTGGACGGCGCCCGCTCGCTGGGCGCTCAGGCGGCGCTGCAGCCCGGCTCTGGCGGAAGGTGCCCACACCTGAGAGTCGAGTYGGCTAGACCGCCGCTGGGGACCCGGGCGGGGAGGACCCGGGGGCGGGGCAGGCAGGGCCCGGCAGGACAGGACCGCTAGGTGACCCGGCCCGCAGCCGGGGCGCAGCCCGCGCCTCCACGCGGACGCCCGACGCCCGGCAGCACGAGCGCAGGAGGTGAGGAGTGCGGGAGGGCGAAAAGAAGGACCCGCCACGACAAGGAGGCTACATGTCGTCAAAATAACGGCCCGTGGGCACCCGGCCCCCGTGGCAGCTCGCGGAGGCACCAGGAGTTCGAAGTGCCCCGCGCCTCCCTCAGAAGCCCGAACGCCCCAAGCCCGGCCCCGACCCCAAGACACCTGTTTGGCGGCGCCTGGCGTTCGGTTCCACCCTCCACGCTCCGGCTCACACACCCCGAGAGGGGGGAGGGCGAGGGGAGCCCAGACCTCCGACCCGCAGCCTGAGGGCGCCTCTCCTGGCCGTACCTGACATCAGCAGCTGCTCCCCCTCGCCCCTCCTGGGGGGCGGAGAGGGGGTCCACTCGGGGCTGGCGACCTTTGCTCGTCTGGGCAGCCGCAGAACTGGCTCGTGGCCGCTAGCCCGGGCCGCTCGCTACCGCCCAGATCATTCTCCCGCGGCGGTGGCGGTGGCGGCGGCAGCCGAGGCGGGCCCGGCGCGCGCTCCCGCCCGCTCGCTCCGCCCCTCCCTGCAGCGCGTCCAGGCCRCGGCCCGCCTACGGCGCAGCCGCCACCCAGGGGTCTCCTAGCGCTGACGTCGCCGCCGCCGCACCAGCCCCAGGGAAGGGCGGAGCCGGAGGGGGCAGGGAGGGGCGGGGCTACGGCGACGTGCGGACGCGGGGATAGGACGCCGACCACGAGCTCCGCCCTTCTGYGAAGGGGTCTGGGAAGTCGGGGCTTTCAGAAGCTGTAAGCTTAGTTGCAGCCCTCTTGCGCATCTTATCTACGGGTTTCACTTTTCCAACTCTGCGGTTGGGTTCTGCACTAGCTTCCATACTTGGAGACTGAGGAGTACAGGAACGTAGTGAAAGGAAGGAAACTAGAACTGAGACTGGTCGTGACTGAGAGACAGACCTTTGTCTGAGAGACTGACTCTTAACTCTGTAGTAGTATCTTGGCCTCTAACCTGCTCTTAACCCGTCCTTTTTTTTCCCTCGCTAGTCTTCTCCCCATACTCCCACTTTCTCTCTGGTCTTAAGGAAAGGAAATATGGCAAGATGAGCTGTGCAGAAAGGTGCTACATAACGTGATGTGTGAACCAGAAAGAACTGAAAAACAGTGATATCAGAAAGCCTTCTGCAAGAACACGTGCATAAACTTTGATTCTGTCAGTACTTCATTTCTGTCCTACAATATAGCAGAAAGAAGTTCTTCAAGCTTGCAAAAATCATCTGCCCTTAGGGGGTGGTTGCCACCTGTCCAGACAACCCCACCACATAGTGAGGAGGTGAGTGGAAGGTCTATATGTCATTGGCTTTAACCCTCTACAAGGCCAAGCTCCAGGATCGGAAAGCTACTGCCTGCTTCATTTAAATGCGTGACTTGGACAGTTCTTTAATAACCTGTGTTAAAAGTAGACTCTGAAAACGGCTGGTTGGTCTGTTTCACTTCATTTTCTGTTGCTAAACTATAATACAGCTTGGTTCCATATACTTCCACAAGGGAACTAGAAAAGATACTCCTCTAGGGGTCACAATGTTCCAAATACAAAGCAAACCAAACTCAGGATTCTTTGTGTCATTTTAATTTAATTGAAAGTTATAGTGAACAAAGAATAACCTTTTTTTTCCCTCAATGAACAAAGGTAAACCTTTCCAATGATAAGATTAGCCATAGTCAAAATAAAGAAGAGCTTTATTTTGACTGTGGTTCTGGGCAAAGTTCTGGCCGATGGCCTTCTTGCTGGCAGTGCCCTGAAGCAAAGCAGAATATCACATGGCAAGAAACAGGGAGCTCATAATAGAGCTTGCCAAGCTCCCTTTTATAGCAGACCTGCTGTCGGGACAGCCATTGACCCATCAATACATTAATCAGRTGAGTGGATTAAGCTATTCTTGAGGGCAGAGCCCTAATCAACTCTTAATGGTTCCACCTCTTAACATCTTATGATGGGGACAAGCCATATTCAGACCATAACAGGCTGGAACCTTGCTTCCCTTCCCCTATTTATTGGCTGTGTAATGTTACAGGTTACTTAGCATGCCTGGGAGAAATAATAAGTAGCATATTTTAGTTATTGTTATTTTTCCTGTAATTTGCTTGGGTTCAGCTTTAGTATATAGTTTGCCACGACTTAACATCAGTAGATCCAAAAGAGTCTTCCAAAAGAATTTTAAAACTTAATGGCCGGGCACACGCCTGTAATCCCAGTGGCTCAGGAGGCTGAGACAGGAGGATAGCGAATTCAAAGCCAGCCTCAGCAAAAAGCAAGACGCTAAGCAACTCAGTGAAACCCTGTCTCTAAATAAATTRCAAAATAGGGCTGGGGATGTGGCTCYGTGGTCAAGTGCCCCTGAGTTCAATCCCCTGTAACCCCTCTCCCCCTAAAAAACTTAAGGAACATCTAGTGATTCTAATTCAGATGTCTCTTTTTTTCAGATGAGGAAACTGAGGCCAGAAAGATAAACTAACAGAACATGCCAGAAGAGAAATGCCAGAGTCATGACAGCCAGGTTGGTGCCCTTTCTTGTCCCCTGCCTCCAGACTTCTCTTTACTATATCCCACGTTTAATTTCCTTTCCTCCTCAACTTCTGTATAGTTGTTGCCCAGGCCCATCCCCCACCACAGCTTGGTTCCCAATACTTCCACAAAGAAACTAGAAAAGATACTCCTCTAAGGGTCACAGTGTTCCAAATACAAACCAAACCAAACACAGGATTCCTTTGTGTCATGTTTCTTTAGCCATTTGACCTACACCCATCCTTTTTCTTACTTAGAACCAGGACACCATGCTGAAGGTAGAGCCACAAAACTTCAACCATGATGACAAAAGCCACACACTCAATATTAATGGTGTAGGAAGCCAGACATGTCTGGGTTCATGGTTGCTTTGGAGGGCCAGCTTACCAGCWAGGCTGGCCATTTCTGGGTTGTTGTTATGTGAGGAAAAATAAATTTTTTCTATATAAGATTTTGTTATATGAGCTTTCTATTATAAGTCTTAAATATAGTTCCTAATTGATATAATGAGGTAGATTATCATTTATATAGCAGTATGTTGACAATTTTTTTTGATAGGGTAAAATGAAAATGGGACAGAATATGYAAGCTAACCACAGCAATAAAATATTCTCTAATAAACTTAGTTTTCCATTAAATACCTAAATATTAAATAAGTCATTTTATAATTACTTGAATTTTATAAATTAACTTATATTCATGACTTAGTGGTTTTAAAATACATCCACAAATTCTTTCATGCTTCTTTCAAAAGATAGCGCTTAATTCCCCTAACTTTAAGTTTGGGCTGTACTTAGTAACTTTTCGTGACTAGAATARTATGAAAATGACGTAGTGGACTTCTGAAGGGAATTTATAAAAGATATGTCAGCTTTCTTCTTGTTCACTCTCTGGAATTACTTGCTGAAAGTGTCAYCAGACAGGGGTCCAAGGAGGTCTCTCTAGAGGACATTGGGACCCTCCATTCGCCCCAGGCAGGTTCTTGCCTTACACCATGTAAAAGCATTCCAGGATGTATTGAAAGCAAGGCACAAGCAATAATTTATTAATAGAGACAGCAAATGAAAGGTACACACACCCCAAAGGCAGGGTGCATATGCCCCTGGCCTCTCATAGAAGGTAAGACAAGTTATTCAACAGGGTTGATCTCCCTGACTATATGAATGATTCTCCTAGGAGGAAAAGTGCAGGTTCCCGGGCAGGCTTTTGTGAATCAGGATGTTTCATCTTATTTAAATAGTCTAGCTACAGATCAGTTATGGGTATATTGTGTAGCTTGAATCTGGTGACATTTGAATTGATTATGTTTTTGTTCAAGTTGATCTCGTACAAGCGTATGTTGAATGCTTTTTTCCTCTAGTTAAAGGGACAAACATGATTGATCATGCTTATAGGTCTAGATCTCCATCTAGTAAGGGTGTCCTTTTCTCTCTCCCTGAGAGCCCAACTATCTCAGGGAAAGGTAGCTGTCATGTCTTTATCATCAGGTCACTCAGGCAACTTATGGAGAGGCAGGGTTGGCGAGTATTAAGGCTTCCAGCCAACAGCCATGCAAATATCCTTGAAAGCAGATCCTCCAACAATAGTCCAACATAGAAGTGACATCATGCATCCCTGGCCAGCATCTTAACTGTCACCTCAAGTGAGACCCTGAGCCAGAACCTCTCAACTAAGCTGCTCCTATATTCCTGCCCCCAGAAAAATGAGATAATACATGTTTAAATAATTGTTTTAAGCCACTAAGTTTTAGGATACTTTGTTATATAACATTCAATAACTAATACAGTTGATTATAATAGAGCCTAACACAATGGGCAGCGCATAAGTGGGTGTTATTTGAATAACAATTGATTAAAGTGGAGTTTATCTTTTTTACTTTAATAGATTACATATGATGCTATTATTACCTGTGGTCCCTGACACCTAAATTATATAAGGGTTTTTTAATATGGTCATAAAGAGATCAATTGTGAATCTTACTGAGATCAAAACATTGGTGGTCCTGGATATTAAAAAAAAAAGTGGAATGAGCAATAATATCCTGAAATTGGAATTCTGTCTTTAGTCTTATCACTAATTAACTGGGTGAGTTATGAAAAGTCACCTAAACCTAAATTTCAATTTCCCTATTCATTAAATGGGGACAATAATCTCAAATTGTTTTCAAAAGATAGTCAGTATGATTTTATGTAATAGTGTATTAACACACTTTCAATTAATTTGGTTAGATCTGCCTTTTTAAATTTTTAAGCAAATAAGTGTTACATATTTAGGTGTGAATCCCATAGAGAATTTTCTTTCAAATGGTGGTAATTTACTTGCTGATTTTACTGTGTGCATTTGTACATATTAGCATCATTCATAGGCAAGCAGTTTAGGCTTAAGTGTGTGTGGCAGGATGGTAGCTTATTAAATGTCAGATCTCATTTTATTAGCCTGTTGAAAATTTACTATGCTTTAAGAAGAATACATAATTATGACTGACTCCTTTTCCTTTTTATTAATTAATTTCTAACTGTAGCTAGGTATTTGCCCCAGCAATACTTAAATATTCTTAGWAATAAATACACATTTAGCTAGTAATTTGATCTGAGTTTTAAGTGTTCATCCTAGAGCAAAATTGTGCCCAACAGCAAGTATATACATGGTAGAATATATGTCTTTCTCTTTTAGAGAGGAGGACTTGTGCACACAGAGAAAGGCTTTATGAAATGAAATGTCAGAAGTAAATATTATATAATTATGGACAATGTACAGTTTGTCATGAGTAACCTAACAGATAAATATGTTAGGATGAATAAGGTTTATTTAGCCTTAGTGTAGGATTCAAGTCTTGATTACATAGTGGATGAATTATCCTAGATTTCTGGGTTTTTGAACAGTGGTCCCCCCTTATCCATAGGGAATAAGTTTCAAGACCCCATGGATACCTGAAACTGTACCTAGTACCAAAACCTACATATACACTGTTTTTTCTACATGTAGTTACCTACGATAAAGTTTAATTTATAAATTAGGCACAGTAAGAGATAATAATAACTATAATAAAAATAGAATAATTTTGACTGTGTACTATAATAAAAGTTAGTGAATGGATCCTCTCTTCCCAAATATCTTCTTTTAGTGTATATCTTATCAATCTCAGCATATGCTTTTGTTTTCTTTCYTTATTAAGTCAAGAATTTTCACCTTTCATTTAAAGAAAGTACTTTATTGTTTTTTTTTTTTTTTTGGCCACCCCAAGGTTGTTAGCATCACTAGTCTTGCACCTTGGAGTCATTATTTAATAAGTGAAGTGAAGATTATGTCAGCACACTCACTACAATATCATGATAGTTGCCCTCATAATTGAGATGGCTACTAAGTGAAAATGAGCAGCCGGTGTGTACAGTATTGATAGGTTGGACAAAGGGATGATTCACATCRTGGGTAGGATGGAGTGGGGTGGCATTAGGTTTCATCACATGTTCAGAATGACACACAATTTAAAACTTCTGAATTGATTATTTCTGGAAATTTTTAATACTTTTAGACTACAGTTGACCATGGGTAAATGAAACCTCAGAAAGTGAAACTGGACAGAGGAATCTTGCTGTATTGTTTCTTGCTTTCTGCTACTTGCTGTAACCCCAAATCATATGAAATTACTGGCTTAACTAGACACTGGACTATATGTGGTTATAGATGATCTATAGTAGTAATGAAAAWTTCTAGGGAAAAAATGGACACTAGGAAAGTGAGAAGAGAGAAGACTGGTGACAGTGTGTTTTCAACAAAATTTCTCACAATACTTGCCAGTTCAGAACGAGGAGAAGATAAAGAAAAAAGAAAGTCTAGGAATTACTTTTAACATCAAGGGAAGAGGATTCAGCATGACTACAATGTGTGCACCAAGGAATTAGTGTTATTGCAAGAAATATTCTCAATTTGTGAGGTTAGGCTTGCTGGTTTTACTCTGTATTCTTCTAGTTCCCTGGAATAAGAATCATAATGTTCTTTAGTTGTTTTCCTTGGTGGCTCACCAAAAGCAGAAAATGTTTTTTGTAAATGGAATAGGCAAAGCTTGCTTTAGTTTGAAATTCCACAGGAGTAAATTATTTATGAATGTTGATACTGTTATTGTAAAGAACTAACTTAACATATTTAGCTATGTACTATGGCATATTTTTTTCTTTCTTTTAAATTTTATTTTAAAATTTAAAAATGAACTGTAGTAGATACCATTTTGGGTTTTTGTCACCTCCGCTGAGATGCACCCTGTTCTTCAGCCCTTTACTATAACTCCCATCTATAGGTTGGTTCCCTGTTATGGTTTAGATATTATGTATCCCCCAAAAGCTCACATGGGAAACAATGCAAGAATGTTTAGAGGTGAAATGATTGGGTTATGAAAGTCTTAACCAAATCAAGGCATTAATCCCCTTATAGAGATTAAGTAGATGGTAACTTTAGGGTATGTCTGGAGGAGATAGATCCCTGAAAGTGTACCTTTGGGGTTTATATTTTTGTCCTTTTTGAGCAGAGCTCTCTCTTGCTCGCGCCCTCCCTCCCCCCCCTCTCCCCTTCTTGGTGCCATATTTTCAGCCACTTTCTTCTGCCACACACTTCTGATATGATGCTCTGCCTCATCCCAGACCTTGAGGAATGGAGTCAGCCACCTATGGACTGAGACTCTAAAACCATGAGCCCCYAAATAAATGTTTCCTCTAAAATTGTGCTTGTCGTGTCTTTTGGTCACAACAGTGAAAAAGCTGATTAAACCATCCATTAGGTATATTGATATGAGAGGACCTTTCTCCCTACCTGACCATAGTGATTGGATGAGGTTTGGTCATTGATAGATTYTGAATCAATGAGATTCCCACGTCTGGAATTTGGAGTTGGGACATAGAGGCTTTTGCTATTCTCTGTTGAACACTAAAACTATAACCAAACATGAGTTTTAAATCAGGCTAAACCCAAATAAGAAATCATTCTGCAGGGAGAGAAAGGAATGAAGCCAATTGTCTGAGAAAACTAATTAACCCTAAGTTTTGGGGCTCCTTTAGAAAGGGAAAGAGAGGAGAGAGGAGCTTTCTGGTCCCCTTCAGATTTCCCCTGGCCACTACCCCACAAATGGCCCTACTGCCCAATTTCATGAGCTCCTACCCTGTATCCTTGTACTGAATGACACTTTTTTGGTTAAATTAGTTAGAATATATAACTTCTGCACTATTTAAGATATATTTTATCACTTCATTTAAAAGAAACCTAAATATTTTATTTTTCTACAAGAAGTAAGACACATTTTAAAAACTTCGGTCTAAAGGAATAGCATAAAGCCTATGAAAAAGCCTGCAAATATTACAGTCTTTTGAATAAAGACAACAAAATGGCAGAGTAAGAAGCTCTAAGCTCTTATT